CTATTACGAGACCTCTACGAGGTTAGTTTAGCTCTAGGATACTAGTACTAGAGCTAATTAGTTTATCTAGTACTGCCTCATGTCCTATCCCCCGCGGGCGCTGGAACATACGGTGTTTGTTTACGTTTGTTGTACATTGGTCGGCCATTGATGGCGTACAAACACTGATCCCTGCATCCGTACTGTGATAATACGGGAAAATGTACGATTTTTAGCAATTTCGCAATAGCCGCAGCTGTTAAAGCGTCGTGCTAATGACGCGAACGTCAAGGGTTCAATCCCCGCATTGGCAAAATATTTTCCCTCATTTATTTATCGCTGCCGGTTTTCATTATAACGTTTTTTCATGACACCTTTTACCATGTTCGTGCGTCTATCATGCGTCTATCGTCTATGCGTCTATCATGCGCCTATCATGTTCGTCTGTTCTAACTACGTGGAATTATCGGATACTAACTCTGAGTTACTTAACTCAGGATTTAATCCATGTTTATGAAACCCAAATTTAACTCGGAGTTTACTAACTCAGAGTTAGTGAGTTTAACTCAGAGTTAGCCTTAACTCAGGGTTAAAGTTAATCCACGACTGTGGAACCGGGTCCTGGGCAATAGCTGTGATAATACTCGGATGCGAATCTGATTTCGGGAACTGACAGTACTTGTGTGATAACCCGCAGGCTCGGATATGACCAGTAAGAATGGCTGCACACAGCTGTGGCTAATCACGCACTACTGCGAGTATGGCTCCCTGTACGACTATCTCAACAACTACACCCTGGACATACAGACTGCTCTCTACTTCCTCATCTCGGCTGCCAACGGCCTGCTCCATCTTCACACGGCGGTGTTTGGCACCCAGGGTAAAGTCGCGATCGCTCACAGAGACGTGAAATCAAAGAATATCCTCGTAAAGGTACGTGGTCATGGGTGATGAGCAGGAAGTTGGTGTGAGAAGTAGAGGGCTACTGGCTGGATACTAACTGTCAGCTCACTCCCCAACCCAGTACAATTTTCATTGATATCGCTGGTTTGTCCATGTATTCGATTGAATGGTGTACTACGGATGTTTAAGCCACAAACACTGCAGCCGGCAATATAATAGTAGAAGCTACCTTTACAAATGCATTGCACAAGTGGGAGAAGTTGCAGCCGTTATGTGAAATTCTTTATTGTTGTAATTAGTCACATGCCTTGTGAGAGTTGTGATGAGTCACCCTGCAGTAGCTGCAGAACACGCACGGTGCACCGCGTAAAAGCAACAGAGCGTATGTGTCACACTATGTAATGGAAGCAGAAGTGAAAGCAACAGAGCGTATGTGTCACACTATGTAG